AATAATATTGATAGATTCATAGCTTGTAAAGAAAGGGATAGTATACAGCTGTAGGTGGTTTTGATAGAATGATGATGTTGATGCTGATTATAGTGATGATGAAATAGATAACAGTCACAATAATCAAAATGTACTTATTTAAATAGAATTTTCTTCTGATGCCTGGGGATCACACTATAACATTCCGTCAAATCAAGAGAAACTTTCGTTTTAACAAAGTAGTCCTATCACCTGTCAGCCTACCAACCTGGGTAGACCTTGGCATGGAGAGCCGTTTGATTCCTGATTCTTACTTATCTACTAACATAATTTATGGTTCATCACCAAAGCCAAAGTTTGGAAGGCTTAACAGCCCAGGTAATAAAGACTTTAATATCTAATAATAATGATATTAATAAGTTTAATATTGATAACGAGCATTTTTCATGTGTAATATGCTCATTCGAATTAGGGGGCAAATAACATTGGTTCTTCTAGACCTACTTTTATCCCCATTTCTCCCCATTGGTCATTCCCTTAATAATTCATTTTTTTACCAGTTTCAAAAGAAAAAAATTAAATGGATGGTATCAAACAAAAATATACAAATTAAGGTGGTGTGAAGTGGAAAACATTACAACCCAACACATTGAACAATAGGYCTATTGATACATTGTGCATACTGTATGTGTGTGTGTTTGTGAATGTGTACCAATAAATGTTTACGATTAGTGATTCAAGGGTTTTTGCACTGGTTTTCTTTCCTCCCCAAACCTGTTCATAATATAATAATAATAGATTCCAATTAGATACAACTGAGTTTGTTACTCTAGTCTCCTACGCAGCCGCTATTAGTGTCGTCACGCAACGCTCTTTCCCCTAAGTAGCGGAAATGAGCGTTGCGTGACAACACTAATAGCGGCTGCGTAGGAGACTAGAGTTACCTCTTCACTCACTTAGATCAGCCTAAAAGTTATGTTTCAGGGTTTGAAAAAATTATCGTTTTTTTGTTTAGAGGGTTGGTGCTCCACAGAAGGCAACATATTTAATGTATTTTTTGCAATCAAACTACCTGGACTGGCCATCGTATCCAGGATTGCTATCCAGGGTGGTAAGGATATCTACCAGAAGTCTAATAACTATTGGGTCACCAGGTATGCATGCCTTATCATAGTTCTTCTGTTATCCAATCTCGTACCCAGAGCCTATGTTTCTCACCAAGAATGATAATGATTTATGATTTATATAGCGCCCTTATATAAAGATATAATCAGGGCGCTAATCAGGTAGGGCGGGGAAATTGCTAGTCATTGTATTGTTCGACGTGTGATGCGGAGGGGGACCTAGAACTAGTGTCATTTTWACGCTTCGCTAATCTAGTAGCTGAGCCTCCTTTGCAGAGGAGGGGAAGGGATGAAGGTGCTGACACACGGTGCAACATTGCACGCAACATTGCAAGCAACAAATTTGAATCGGGGTGACACACATTGCAGCAAAATCACGCAACATCTTTTGTGTCAGCCTGCTATGTTAAGATGTATGGTCAGAAGTTATAAATTTGGTGCAAGCTGTTTGGCTGGAAATTTCTAAATGTTGCAGGTAATGTTGCAGCCATGTTCATATGATGAAATTTGTTGCGCGCAATGTTGCAAGAGTAGAGCGCGATTCAACTTCRGATTTGTTGYATGCAACARGTTTGGGRTAGAYACACGCTGCAACAGTCCGGTTTCGTGCAATKTTGCATGCAATGTTGCACCGTGTGTCAGCACCTTAAGAGACCGACACGAATAACGTCAAAGAAGGAGCCTACTTATTTAGTTTCGCTCTAACATGCAAAAATGTTCAGCCTTCTTTCAGTTGCAGTAAATTTTTCGAAAATTGAGACATTCAAGATTTAATGTTTAAATCTTTCTAGTAAAGCCTTTTTATTGAYGATAGAACATAGAATTTGAATTTGATAAGTTTCTGTCATTGAATAWTTTTTTGAAATTCTGGCCACCATGTTGGATGAAATTGGATATCATCCAACGATCTACACTAAAAAATCGGTAACTTCGTTCGCGCGTAGCTCGTTTATAGAAATTCTCTAATGCTCAGGTTTTTTGCTCAAAATCGTATTACTAGTAGTTCTACATGGCCATAAGGATTGTTTTTTGATTGGCACCAAAGGATATTTTGGCACCAGCAAAAAACACGTTGCTGCAAACGAAGAATAARCTGCCAATTCCTTTTTCGTAAATTCGGTAGTACGTTAATGTTTTAGAAACAAGAACGACAATAGAAAACAAGACAATGCATACAATATAAAACAATACATAYATATGCATTATATTCGTTTAGAACATGAACTTATTACCGTAAATTCTGAGGTAACGATTAATAGAGTAGAAAAAAATACGTAGGAAGCGCAGTAAGGAATTTTCTACGGCASCTCTCCAATAGTCATATATGCTATAATATGATGAATTATCTTTTGTATACGTCAACATAGCAAGTAAGACTAGTTAATAGTAATCATAGAACAAACAAGCTCTTTCTTCACCAATATACGATCTGCATGCAAAGGAGAAGCAAATTTGATACGCCATTGATATAAATACCAGGGGGAGGGTACCAAGTGGAGAGTCGAGGGTACCAAGTCGAGGGTACCAAGAATTTATTTTAAAGTTGAAAAAATAAAAATTAGATTTTAGAAAAATCAACAGCTAACCATTAAACGTAAACACGTCGTAAATACCCAAGCTATCCCTCAATGCAAAGGGATGTTATTTCATCACCAGTGTAACATCTACAAAAGGGAGGGACACGCCAAGCTAAATGATGATGTAATAGTATAAGGTTTATCAAACAACTATTTGCCACTTTTTCCCATTTTGTGTGAAATCTTTGGTAAGCTTATAACTGTCTTTCAATTTTCAGTTTCAAATTGAAAACATCTATTGATGATGGTCGCATGGGTTTCTTTACCTGGTATCGTGACAGGACAGGACGTAGGACCTTCAAAGCAAACAATGGTGAGAATGTGGATAAATCCGTATTGCTTTTGATCATATAAGGAATACTGTTACTATTTTATCGACAATYTTCCCAAAGCGGGTGAAAACAAAATAGAACATTATGTCCCCTCACTAATCATTCAGTATTGATCTGTATGAATCTATAGTACCTGTCTTGATCCTCAATAACAGCCTCTCATCCCTGATTTTTAATATTTTCACATCTTCGCAGCACTTAAATTTAACGATATTTTCGAAAGAGCGAAATTAAAAGGTCGCAAAAATTTGCGTAATAAGGTACAGAATAAATTATAAATTTGATTCAATCAAACCAGTAACAAGATGCTCAATYATGGATGCTCTTTTCTTAGATTCCTTCAGTGTAGTTGAGAATGAGCTGCCATTTGCTGTACCAATGAGAGCTGCTCTTATCTACCCCGTGTCATACAAGAACTGGATCTGTTTGAGGGTGGAATTATATGGAGTTTATTTGTCCAGTTCTGCTTGCGCCTCGTCAGGGCCTGAGCTACACAATACCGAACCTTGTACAGGGGATAGAGATTGCGGTAAAAATGCCAACTGCAAACCAAAAAGTTATGGAATCATCAAACAGAAAAGTAAGAAATTAATGTACAYACTTTATTTCTACTTAATTCGGCGATATTTAGTTTTGCGATTTTGGTAAGGCCATGCTTTATTCATTTAGACTTTTATAATTTGTAAGATATTTGAAATATAACGCATGCGCTGAATGGCTGGCTACTGTGTTTATATCAGAGGACCAAGTTACGCTCCCGCAAAATCGTTCAAAAATATTTTAATCAAGAAATATGGAACRGCTGTTATGTCTCTGTATTGTGATATAAACACTCGGTGAGCTGTAGAACACATGAAAAGAATACTCGGCTACCCCTTCAAACCCACATACTTTATTTAGACCCTTTGGTATAATGTTTTCCCATTTCAGACCACGTGTCATTCCTTAAAGTTTACTTTCTTTGTTTAACGGTTACGAATCCTGCGCTCTGATTTCATGAGCTCAGTACTAGTTATCAATTAGACAACAGAAAGTCGCGCGCCCATGGCGTTAAAGACGCACCACAGGAAGCCCATGCAAGCTTTGAGGGCTAAATGTAATTTAACGAAAAAATTATGCCATACTCCTGGTTCAGTCACCTGTTAAAAATATCGATAGAAATCGACCAAGATCCTTCTAAAACCATAAAAAGTTGGWCTTGTTTTGACAGCTTTATTCACGCTGCATTTTCCAAATTCCTATTGCTGAAGAAAAAGCCTCTCTATTTCTTCGAAACAAAAAATTAAGAGCTTGTTGCAAGGACATGGAAAGGATAAAGCCTTCTCCTACTGATAGTTGAAGTTTGAAGTAAAACTAAACAAAATATCTTTTGTTTCTTCGCTTGAAAGTGGGAAGTTTATAAAGTGATTGTTTACGTGTTTACGTTTCACTTAGTTTTTCTTCTACCGGAAGTTCCTAAAACTTCCTTTCTGTTTGTAGGCCAAATCATTTAATTTAGGATTTGAATGGACTAAGAATAAGYGTAGTGAAGAATGACCTATTGAAAAGTTCCGGTCGACCCGCGTCGACCTCTTCTAGTTTCTCTGATATTTTAGTTTTACTTGAAGCGTATACAAGTGTATTTGTACTGCCACACACATCAACATCAAAAAGACGAAGCACCGTACAACGTCTAGTTTTTTCCCGAAATTACGACTTGGAAACCAACAAAAATCTAGAAGAAGTCCTTAAACATACACAGCAGTATCATGTACTTGATAAAATAATACTCTTTTTATTATAACGTTGCAAAAAACACACTTTTTTGCCGCTTACTAATTTCAAAACTGTTTTTTTCAAACGTGGGAACCCATTTGCAGTCGTGATTCACCTCTTTGACGAGCTGTTTGATTGGAAAACTAGCTGTCAAAAGTGACATCTAATGATTGACACCGCACTTTTTCTAAAAGCAAGCMRAGAAAGGARTAAACTTTAGTCGTAATGTTTTGCTATATGTACTAGAATTTATGCCTTTTATACAGCAAAAAAGGTATAATTTTCAAAAGTCTGATGTCTCGATGTACCTATGAGGAGTCTCAATTGATAGGATTTGTCTTTGGGAACCAACTCGAAGAGTTGACTCGTAAAAAAAAGTGATTGAAAATTTCAAAAAGGTTTGAGAAACTAATCTGGAAAGGAACATGCAATTTGGAAAGGAAATTTTATGTATATATTTATTGCGAAGTACTATTTCAGGTGTATTGGATACAGTGTAAATAAATTTTGTAGAAACGACAGCMACTTTACCCAGTTCTCATACCTTAACTTAACTTAGATGTTATCAAACTACATTCAACTATTTCTTCAATTGTTATTTGGTTGAACTATCACAAAAGGCCAGTATTATCTTAGTTAGCTTTGAATCTAAACGACTCTAAAACTGTTTTCTTTTTCATARTAAAAATAGCCAAAGCCATTTATAAGCTGAAGCTGTGAAGTTTTTCAACTTTTCAAACTTTTGTACGAGTTTACGTATTATATTGAACATGGAGAACTTTGCTTAGCTTTTTCTTTTCTTTTTTACTGGGAGAGGGAGGGGTGGGTTATTTGCAAGATCTTTAACTTCTGAAAATRACATCAGAAATACCGTAAATTTTCAGTTTCGAAAGAAGCAGCTGGAGCTCTGTAMACTACGACGGTCAGAAGCAAATAAGCACATTTTACGTTTTCACCCATCATGCTTTGCAAACCCGTGTCGCACACCACCTGTATAGAGAGGAAGGGGATTTTTTWWWAAAAATCGCTAAAATGGCTCGAAATCACTACTAAAGAATTCGGATGACGTATAAAACACTTCATGTGAGTAAATATTAGCTTTTATTTATTTTATTATATATATTTTTTCGTTAAATTACATTCAGCTCTCAAAGCTTGCATGTTTTCAACCACTCACCTTGCTCGTGCGCGCGCTATTGACGCCATCGGATTTGAAAATTTAGAGAAAAAAGGCGAGCGTCCGTTGAGATCAGCGTGCGCGAGCATGCAGCCCATGGGGAATTATAAAATAACTGTTATGAATGTCGCATTCTGATTGGCTTGGAGCGCGTGCTTTATGAGAGCACATTGCACGCGCGCGCACTTTCCGTTGCGTCATTCCTATCTATTATTGTAATTTGTATTTTATAAAAGAAATAAAAAACTTGCTTGCTGTGCTGTGTGCAGTCATAAAGTACTTGGGGATTGGCAGAACACTCGAGAAGTTTCCAGAAGCACTCCGCTACGAGTCGTGCTTCTCCTAACACTTCTCTCGTGTTCTGCCAACCCCCGCGTGCTTTATGACAGCACACAGCACGCGCGCGCGTTTTCTATTTCTTCAATAGTTCTTTGGTTTTTGGCCAATCAGAGCGCGCGTAATAAAAGTTATATCATAATGTTCTATTAGTGATAGACCACTGGTAGCGAAAATTGCCGGTTTTGAAAAGCAAACAACACCAAACATTAAATTATTTTAACCTAATTTCAATTCTTTTTAATATCTATTTATTTGACCTATTAGTAGATTTATACTAATTGGTTTAAATAAAATAAGTCAACTTTTTCTTAGAGAGGATGACAAGTGACAATCGCAACTAAACCGGCGACCCCCACCCCCACCCTCATCCCCACCCGCACAATAGTCGGGCGTCCAACCAACTAAGCCAACATGAGCCAACGAGTAGGCGGTTTATTTATGGAAAACAAAGAAAATAATGTTCAAGGGAATGACACATGGWCCAAAATGGGTAAACATAATGTGCAAACTAACTCCAGCTATTATGAATTTAGTTGGAGATCTGTGGAGAAAGTTCTATTCAAATGATTCAGCCGATAAAGAGTATTGCACTTGTGATCGTGGTTACCATGGTGCCAGTTGTCAACACTACGGTTGCACGGTTAATCCATGTCAGAACCAGGGAACTTGTACTGAAAAATCCCAAAATGGAGGATTCTCCTGTTCATGTCCGCCTGGTTTCTATGGTAACTTTTGTCAAGAGTCATGTCCAGCTGGTCGCTATGGTTACAACTGTTCAAAGCAGTGTCAGTGTAATGGGCGTGGTAGTTGTGATGCGGTGATGGGCAAGTGCCACTGCTCACTTGGGTTTAATGGCACAAACTGTCAGTTTAAGTGCCACACTGGTTACTATGGTTACAACTGTGGGCAAAAATGTCAGTGTCAAAATAGAGCGGTTTGTGATCAGGCAACAGGGGCTTGCACTTGCACCTCGGGCTGGTGGGGCCAATTCTGTGATCAGCAGTGTCCATGGAACACGTGGGGGCAGGGGTGCAGTCTAAATTGTTCCTGTTCAAGTTCAGCCTTGATGTGTGATCGCACAACTGGTAAATGTCTTTGTGATCGTGGCTATTATGGCAGGTAAGATTTCCTTCCAAAGTTAGATGTCGAGGTCTGGATTGCAATGCTGCACACCCCAAAGTAATCTTTGCCTTGCCTGTCATTTCCAATAATAACGTTGAGCTAAGAGTAATCATGACCAGTGACTGACCGGCTGTCATTTACTTTATCCCCTGCTTTCCAAAATATGCATGCAGATTTTTCTCCCAAACTAAGCTTTAGGTTCTTTGGCGATCAGAAAAAGGGTCAAATGCTTTTCTGAATCGGGGCATGCTTCTGGCATAGTTCTATGCACTCTGCTTAACTCATACATGGACTTGTCTCTCTCAAAAGATACTGTAATAACAAATGCCCTACAGGGACGTATGGATGGAACTGTAGCCAAACCTGTCAGTGTGCTTCTAACAGCTCTTGTTCACAAAAGGATGGATCTTGTACCTGTACCCAAGCAGGGCTGACTGGGGTTTTGTGTAAGCAACCATGCCGGCAGGGATTCTATGGGGTTGATTGTCAAAACAAGTGCTTATGCAAGAATGGAGCTGACTGTGATGGTGTAACAGGTGAAGAAAAATCAGTGTAGTTCAAAGTTGATCCAAAATGCTTGTTACGCCATGATATTAAAAGAAGCAAGGGACATTAGTGCATAAGAAACCGCCTCTCACCATACGGTCTTGGGTTTGATTCCCATATGTGACACTATAAGGGGTTGGGTTATAAATCTGAAAGAATGTAAAAGAGCTTTAGTARAGGTGTTTTTGTTCCGTCACCAGGCAAGTGCTTGTGTCGTAATGGATGGCAGGGTCAGCTTTGTGACACCCCCTGCCAAACAGGAACATGGGGTCACAACTGTTTCTTCAAGTGCTCGTGTGTGAATGGAGCTGTATGTGATACTGTCACTGGTCAGTGCTCATGTAAGACATCTGTAGGGTGTGTTTGTCATGCAGGATGGACAGGAGTGGACTGTAGTGTTTCATGCAGCAACGACAAATGGGGGATCAACTGTTCTAAGACTTGCCTATGCAAAAATGGTGCATGGTGCAATCCAGTAAGTAACTAATTACATTCTAATACATCAATTTATCAATGATTCCACATAAGAATGATATTCTCCTTGTTCTCCGGTTTTTCGTCCATCTGCAAAAAGCAACTTCTAAATTCTCATTCGATCTTATTTCATTACTATGCTCAGATTGGTAAGTTAATTTTAAATCATTAAATTGCAAATGAACCCTTTGACAATACATTCAGTACTGGTTCTGCATAAAGTAAATAGTTGATTGGTAAAATATTTCTTGATTTGAGTGATGTGTCTCTAAGTTATGAAGGTTTATACTTCCAAAATGTTGATGATGATGACGTCAGGTAAGGTATTTGAGTATTTTTGTTGTTACTAGTAATACTAAATGCTGGCCATTTTGAAATTAAAACTTTTAAATAGCTTTCATGTAAACCATGAGTAAAATAATGATGCTTTTTAAATACTGTATCTATGAACCAGTTCGATTTTGTATATTTAATTAAGCCTTAATAGACGTCACACTATGTAGTGGCAACTATGTATTGAGGATCTTCATCGATGTTTCAGGTTAATGGAACATGCAGATGCCTACCAGGATTTCATGGATCACACTGTGAAAAACCATGCACATCTGGTTTGTATGGTTCAAACTGCCTGTTATCTTGTAACTGTGACTCCTCAACATCCAGCAGYTGTGATACCAAGACAGGCTCATGCAGATGTCTAGAAGGATGGAAAGGATTCAAGTGTGATATTCCATGTAGTCAAGGTTCTTGGGGGGTTAACTGTAATCAGTCATGTGATTGTGTCCACGGCTCTTGTCATCCAGTAACAGGAAGCTGTACTTGCAATTCAGGATGGACGGGACAACACTGCAACCAAACATGCAACAACTGTAACGCACCATGCCCTAATTGTTACCATAGCAACGGAAAGTGTGACGCATCGTCAGGGAAATGCCATTGCTATGCTGGCTACCATGGTAATGCGTGTCTAGAGTCTTGTCCATCAGGGTACTATGATCAGGGGTGTCAACACAAGTGTCAGTGTGTTCATGGTTTGTGTAGACCAGACAGTGGCTCGTGTGATTGTAGTTCTGGATGGACTGGTTCCATTTGCGATAAACGTAAGTAAACTTCTTTTTGGGGTGAGGTCTAGCTTTTATTTTGTGTAGAACATTCATGTATTCCAGTGAAGGTTCGTGGAATTTCAAAGTGTTACCTTACTCTAAATCGTGAATATTTTGTCGCTAAAATAAGGCTAACCCTAAGTAAATGACGTTGTCGTCAAGGAATGCATCGGCATTTTACAAATGCGAAAGGTTTATTCGATAAGCAAAAAGCCTTATTATCGGTATTTCCTAAAGCCTAGACGCTGTTTGGGTGGGGTTGCACAAAACAAAAGTATTCTTTGAAGTTGATTGGTTGAGAGTCGCATTCCATTGCTAGCAACATTTCGGAAAAGATCACTGCAAATCAAGCGTATAACCTTTGGYCTATTGAATAGCAACGTTTCACTTTAAACGTAAAAAAATATGTTTGCACAAATTATGATTTGTAAGCTCATCACCAGTCAGAGTAACGAACATGTCTGAAGATAGCCTTCGCAGTCTTATATTTCTTTCTAAATTATCACATCTTTCACAGCGTGTCCTATGGGTAGATTTGGCTACAACTGTTCCCAGGCCTGCTCATGTGCAAATGGTACTTGTAATTTACAAAACGGATCCTGTTTCTGCCCTCCTGGTTACCATGGTTACAAATGTAGACGAACATGTCGTAAAGGGTGGTATGGCCCTGGATGTGGCTTCAGGTGTAGTTGTTCAGAGAGAGGTGTATGTGATCCTGTTACTGGTCAGTGCTCTTGTCATAGTGGATGGATGGGGGACAGATGTGAYACTAGATGTGATTCTGGTTATTATGGAGCCAACTGCTCAGCAAAGTAAGACTTCCCTAGTATGTTATRTCATTAGAATATGCAGTTCCGTGAGTAATATAAGTAATAGAGTGTTTCACTGAGAAACATTGAGGCGTAGCTGAGCTTTTTTAACCACCTTCGAGGTGTTTGAATATCGGATGAAACACCCTTTCGTGAGTAAGATACGCTTTCTCAAAAGTTATKCTAATTAAAAAATCATATCCAAACGATTTTCTTCGCTTTGTCCTTATTAATYAAGAATAAATGAGCTTGAGAATCCAGTTTTCAACGTCTGTGCTAAACAGTGGTTGGAGCCTTGAATTTCTCTACCCTTTTCATATCTTTCCCATTTTCATTCTCTCTCGAATTTCTTTTGTTTTCAAAGGTGTCAATGCAAGGACTGTMATCCAGTTACTGGTACTTGTCGCTGTCCAGCAGGATGGCAGGGTCTGTCCTGTACCCAGCCCTGTCCATCTGGTTTCTATGGCAATAAGTGTTCCCAGGCCTGTCAGTGTGCCAATGACGGCACGTGTAATCACATTGATGGCAGRTGTACCTGTAAACCAGGCTTGATGGGTGCCCAGTGTACTAATCGCTGTCCACCTGGTCGCTTTGGCATGTTCTGTTCTAGCTTTTGTRACTGTGGTCTTAACGTGACTGACAGCTCAAGGCCTTGCGATCATGTTACCGGTACATGCAATTGCAAGCCAGGCTTCCAGGGGTTAAGGTAACTGTAAACCCAAAATGCTTTTCTATGGAGACGTCAATTGACGTATAAAAGGATTAATGTATATTGAACACTGTAGAAAAAAGCGATACTTAACTTTGCTGACGTTTTGGACCTTTAGCCCATCATTTCCTACTGACGGTTTTCACGGCGGCCATGTTGGAGGACCTTAACAAAAGCATTGTCAATGAATCCTTTTGTTTTATCATATGACCCGTATCTGCTCGGGCGCGCTCTCTTAGAAAAACCTTCGAGAAAATGACGTGAGCAGGGCCGTACGACTTTGAGCGAGCAGGGCCGTACGAATCCGTACGGCCTTGGTCGAATCCGCGCGCTTTCTCTTTTTTAGCTTTTATTTACTATTTCTTTCTTTCTTTTATTTTATTATTTTTCTTTTCGTGAGGATCATATGACAAAATCCTTATTAACTGAGTTAGGTCGGTCCTTACGGCAGCACCTCGAGCCAAATATTTTCCCGTACGGCCCTCCCACTCAGTCAATAAGTACATAATATCCTCCAACATGGCGGCTGTGTCTTTTGTCATTTAATTCTCTTGGGATTGGTTGAAAACCATCAATAAGGTGTTCAACATGAATTTTTTACTTTTTTATATATAATATATATCTTCACAAGGACGCAATCCATACCAGTTGATTCTTGCTTGCTGTCTGATTATAATTAAGCAATCATTTGTTTACGTACATGCGATTTCCGCTCCTTTGTAAATTATAAATTGACGGGCAAGTTATACAGAGAAAAAAAGTATTTGATAAAATAGCATTGTTTGCCTGCTCTCATGGAAATGAARAGATTCAACAACATGCTGTAGTTGAGTGGTAGTACATGACGGGAATTGTTTGCCCATTGCTAGAGGTTGATAGTAGGGTATGTAAAATACACACGATATGTCCAGCTGATTGATACAAACCGCTAAGCGAAATCATTTATTTAGTTTTATTGTTGATAAAAATCAAATAATACAACTCTGAAAAATAATGAAAGAACGTGATTACTTTGCAGATGTCTAGAACAGTGTAAGTCAGGGTACTACGGTAAAAATTGCCTTCAAAAGTGCCATTGCCTCAATAATGGCRTGTGTAAGGCCTTGGATGGTTCGTGCGTCTGTCCTGCTGGTTACCATGGAAACTCATGTGAGAAGAAATGTGCACTTGGTTTCTACGGTGTCAAATGTAACAGCACGTGTGAATGCATCGGCAACAATACCCGAGTATGCAGCAAAGTAGATGGGACCTGTTCATGTTTAAAAGGGTATACCGGTATCTTGTGCGAGAATCGTTGTCCACAGGGTAGCTATGGTGATGGTTGCCAAGGGAACTGTTCTTGTAAGAATGGAGGCCACTGTGATCACAGGACAGGAGAATGTACGTGTACTGATGGATTTAAGGGCAAGGACTGTACTGAGATCTGTAATGAAGGGGCATTTGGACCCGGCTGTACCAGGAAGTGTTTGTGTGAGAATRGTGCTAAATGCAACCGCTTTACAGGTAACTTACCCTTCATTCTAGATGGCTTCCTCTGCTGACAACCCTCTTTTGTTAGGATTGGGAATCCTGTGAATGATGCGCGGGACAAAAGAATGGTCATGACCACAGGAATCCCAATCCTTTCCAAACGAATAAAAAATTGCCTTCTTCTTTAGTCTCCCTTCTCTTTTTTCACTTTTTAAAGTGAATGGATTTTTTTTTTTTAAATGGATTTAAAAAATCCATTTTCTCCATTTTTTCTCCAAGGAATAGTTATTTTATTTAGTCTGAATGTGTCATTATTCCTGTCAGGAGATTGTACTTGTGCTCCTGGATACAAGGGTCAACGATGTACAGAGACGTGCCTCGAGGGTCGTTATGGTRTAAATTGTGTCAAGATATGCGACTGTAATCCTAGTCATACCGAGAGATGTGATCGCAAGGATGGCACGTGTCACTGTATGCCAGGATACACCCATCGAAGATGCGATCAGGTAATCTTAMATTTGTCCATATATTGTATAGCATATGATATAGAATACTACGTACCTTCCTCCCTCTCTTCTACTTTCCATTCTTCTTACCTGCCTACTCGAGTACATCCTTCCATGTATTTCTTCTCCTGCAATCACTTATTCTCACACACACCTACTTTGTTTCTGACACACAGGAATGTAAGGACGGGTTCTATGGCCAAGACTGTAAGATGGACTGCCCAGCATGCTCACGTCATGTGTCTGGTTCCTGCAACAAACAGTACGGYAACTGCAMCTGTACGCCAGGCTACCATGGCTACGAATGCTACGACGACTGCCCTCTTAACAACTTTGGTTTACACTGCAAAGAAAAATGTRCATGTCGTAAAAGTATGCTTTGCCACCACGTGTACGGGTCTTGCCTGGAGTACAGTCATGGGTTATTTCCTATCGTTGTGATGGATACGATGGATATGTTTAACGATGTTGARAGGTTAAAGGACCTCAGAATAGGCATTGAAGCCATAATGTTTAAATACTTCGATAAATATTCATGGTTTCCCGATGAGATCCCTGTGTCTTCCCAAGTCAAGCAGAATACTAAAACCAAGGCTAGTCCTCTGGATGCTCTCACAGACTCCCCTGTCAACCAGTCTCTAAATACACCTAAACCTACTGTGTCTCCAGCTAGGCATGATTTTGTAGTAAGAATCATCAGCATTGGTTCAGTCATGGTGTCAAAAGTTGTAGAAGCAACACGTGTGTTTTGTGTGTTACTAGACGACGATATTGTGGTTAACAGTACGTCTGTCATGGCGGTATTAAAASATGTTCCGCAATCTGAAATATCCACGGAAATTGCTGCGGTGTATTATACTGGAAAAYTGTATGCTCCCCTCCAGCCTTCCAAGGTCCAGGTTCACCTACCATTGATCATTGGTGTTTCTATTGGTGAGTTGTACCCTAGGAGGGTGGGGTGGGGATACGTTAGATAATCACYTCTCGACAAATTCTTCTAAGGGTTGAAACAAACACTTGAGTGGATGAAAATCCATTAGGAGAGGAGTTAAAGTATCCGCTCATAACGCGTGTTAATAGCGCTCATGTTTATGCGTAGAAATAACAACAACAACTACTACTACTACTACTACTACCACTGCCACTGCCACTGCTACTGCCACTGCTACTGCTACTGCTACTGCTACTGCTACTGCTACTGCTACTGCTACTGCTACTGCTACTGCTACTGCTACTGCTACTAACAACAATAACAACAATTAATAATGGGATTAACAGTGGATTCCAATTGGAATTTAATAGCTTTGATTTTCTTTACTGCGGTTTTAAGCCGCACGCTGAACTTTGATTTTTCRCTGCCGTCAATCAAAAATAATCGGTCGGTACCTTTGATCTTTTTGACTGGCGGCAGTGAAAACCGGTCTCACAACAAGTCGTTGGAATGCCTCTAARTTCGCAGAATATGGAAAACAGCAGTAACCCTAAAAAGATCGTGCARTTTAGTACATATGCAATGGATTATTTATCATAGCTGATATTATTCATCGTAGGTATTCTTCTTGTCATTGCTATCTTGATCATGTTCATGTTACGATACAGCCACATCATCAAACGAGGCTACCCTCGATACAGAAAATCCAAGAAAGACCACGCAGAATTTGAACTACAACCCTGCTTGAGTCATGGCAGCAGCCATCTTCTTGCYTTTGATAACCCGTACTACGATGTGTTGGCAGCCATGGGCATCGATGATGATATAGAAGAGGAGTACAGTAACCCACTATATGATGATGTCAGTATATGTAGTGATAGYTATACTAGCAGTACTGATGACAGTTGTAATAAGGACCTGACACACATGATCATAACATGACAGTAACCCACGTCGATGTCAGTATATGTAGTGATAGCTATACTAGCAGTACTGATGACAGTTGYAATAAGGACCTGACACACATGATMATAACATGACAGTAGCCCCCACGACGATGTCAGTATATGAAATGATAGCTATACTCTAGCAGACACTCATATCATAGCATTCCTGGTCATTTCTGTATTATATGCTATTTATATGTCTGTATATTTTGTAAACTATATATTATAAACAGGTGTCTTGAACACTGATAAAGCATAAGAAATTATATTTTTGGTAGGCTTATTTATGCAAGAAAAGAATATCGCAATATGCGATGGATTTTCCTTTTGCTAACATGTCTATAGAAAGAGAAGGAAAAAAAGTTAAAGTACGTTTTGTTTTGGATTGTTGTCTTTTATTTAAAAATCGAACCGTTAAAATTCATTGGAAGAGTATGCAAAGCAAGCAGCATAGAATAGTTATTAAAATAGACAATAAAATTTTCAAAGTTGAACTCTTTTGTCGTGATCAATTGATTTAAGGATACACCTGACACAATCGGGTTCTTTTCTTTGTAAGCCAGTAGCGCGTTTTTAAATTCGTATCAAATTCCCCTTAGGCTGCGTTCATAATGTATGCCACAGGGGGGGCAGAAATGTCCAGAATAATTCTTAACACCCCCCTTAAAAGTCATGCAAAAAATAATAATCCCCCCGAAGCAAGGGCTGTAGCTTCTTCCAACAATGGTGAACCCCCCCTCCCCCATTTTTCTGATAAAAATTTGCCCATCCCCCTTTTTCCTACCAAACTTTTCCCGATCCCCTGCACCATACATTATGAACGCAGCCTTAAAGTATGCTTTCTCTGAAAGCTTAAAGAGCAATTATTACATATTKCATTTATCTTTGGATACAATTCACTCAGTTTCGAAAAATCAGTAGCTCAACGCGGTATGATTTTTTTCACTCTTGTAATTACACAGATGTTGGTCTATCAGGGTGTGTCTGAGGTTCTATTTTCTTTTCTTTTTCTTTTGTGACATATTTGCCATTTTCTAACAAATGTGCTTAAAAACTAGTAGGTCTAACTTTAGAAGTAAAACAATTTAAAAGCACAAAAAGGAAAAAAACAATTAGTATAAAATCGAAGATAATCGAAGAAGCGAAAAGGCCACACTGTTCTGGGCTCCATTTATTTCTTGCTTACATCTTATGGTTTATATACACCTACATGACACTAAATTATTCCTGAGCCTCACGAGATTCAAAAGCAAATGAAAAATGAGTTTGAAAAGGTAGTTCAAAAACTCATGCTTCGTGTTAGACTATCAGGGCATTCAAATACCTCGGGGAAAAAAAGCATCTTTCATCTGTTTCTTGGTGTTTGGTAGTCTCCTCAGCAGCCGTTCTTAGTGTCGCTAAGAACGGTTGCTGAGGAGGATAGGTGTTTGGGTGCTCTGATCAAACACTCGCACTCGTTTTTGATCTATTACTTCAAAGATCCTCATATACACTTCTTTCAATAACGTTAGTCACCTGAAAAGCTACAAAGCTGAGACCGACAAGGATTATTAGTAGATACATTTTACGTGTTTCAACCGCTTGATAACTGTTGATAGTGGACTTGAGATCTTCTACCAGTTACAAGTTAATCTCCTCTGAGCATCCTCAACTGCAGCAGTTTTTGTCAAAAGCTTCACTTCTTGGGTATAAAACATTCGTTTTTCCGCCTCTTTTGTATCTCAATGTCTTGCCRATTAATAAATGACTCATTAACCTCGTTGGCTCAGTCCATAGCATAGGATATATGRTTCCTATTCTTTTCCACTTTTTCATTAAATTTGCCTTTTTAGATGTTCTTCGCTGATACCCATAAGAATGAGACTGCAATGAACTATTAGCGGACTCACACAAACCAGAACCCCAGAAATCTGGGGTAAACAAATTGTTTCCCCCGGAGTCTTACCAGGCACTGTCCTAGGCACTAACGGCAGGAAAGACGTCGGGAGACTCCGGGTACGAGATTGAGAACCTTCCAAKATTATTATTATTAGTTCTTAACTTGTCTGGGCTCCCTGTGCTTCAGTCATTTAACTCAAGACGGAGGCCGTAGAAATGGAGGAATGTAAGACGAAAGCCAACACAGTTGAATGTTTGCTATTTTATGCAATCGGATTTTATTTCCTTTGTTCTCAGCTTTAATGTTTTACATTTTGTCTAGAAATATATCTATAATTTACCGATTTATTTGCATCACAATTAGTGTGGGTCAGTGAACACCTTCAACCCTTTGAATAAAACTGTTCACAGGGATCTGGGTTTTGACATATTTTTGGACAAAAAGGTCAAATCCCCACCCCTTGCCCAGCATTATATGAATAAAATGTTCTTTTCACTCTTGATTAAATATTGATAATGTAATAATATAATAAATATAATAATAACATTTACACTTTGTGGCAACTGTGAACCAAAGCGCCCTTATAGTCCTTCCTAATAGTAACCAATAAAGGAAGGGGGAAAATAGTGATTATATATGTAGTATAGATCCATGCGTATACAAAAAGTTTCAAAAATGAAAGTGAGCGAGTAAACATCAATGATAGRAATATTATGTAAGTGTAATAACACTGTAATACAAAAATGTTATAGTTCACTGCTTAAAAAAACGTAAAATACATTCATAGCAGAGCAACGTAGTTTTCTTTTAGATTGGAATATGAAGCATAACCTTCAAATAAGAATGTCATTCCTTGCATTTTAGCCACACAACATTAAAAGAAAAAAAATTCCGTTCAGTCTCAGAACGCCCAACTCAGATCTCCGACCGACRTTTCTTAAATGTGTATATCATAGTGTACTTACATTATTTCTGATAAGTCTGGTTTATAAGGAACATATTATATAACAAAGGTGCTGCTCAACAAGGCAACGTTCAATAGAATTTGCCTGGCGAGTTTTTGAAGAAAATTGATGCAAACGTTGCAAGAAATAAAATCAAAATCTGGTTTTATAAAAACTGCGGCGCCAATTTCGAGTTTAGAGTACCACCCCTACTGTAACTTGTTTTGCATGGTTTTGTTTTGACAGCCAGTATATATAATTTTCAATTCAAGTTCCTTTGCCGTCACCTTAGTAAAACGCTTTTCGCGCTTCAGGTGTAGCGGTATTGCACTCTGGCGGGTTTGATTCCTGGATTTGACATTGCATGTGGGCAGATTAGGTCTTTCTTTTGTTTCGAGAGTTTTTCTCCGGTATTCCTTCATCGATGCTAAATTCCTAAATTCTTTCTTGGCTTCCATTGATAAATACATTTCTTACTCAGACCGTCTGAGTTGTCTTGGTCACAGGAAAAGCTCTCTAAAACCATTAAAAGAAGTAATCATCTGAAATAGTGTGAAATAGGAAAAACATGCAAGTCCAAATGAAGTCCTTTTGACAAATGAGCGGTTGACTGTAAAGTATGAAAGGACTGTAGCTACATTTAGAGGTGGAAACATTTTATACAATTTCAAGAATTCTTTACCATTCTTTTTTATGAGAGCAATGAGGCATTTGGCATTTGGTATCAATCAAAGGAAAAGAAAGTGTGCAAGATATTATGGTAGTTGTGGCATATGACCTCATAATGCAAATGTCCTATTCTGAAGCAAAGATACGGTGCACATACATTACTATATACACCCTTATATATAAATATACATTGTCACAAAGTAATAATACYGGAAATTCAAATCTAAATTTTGTGATCACAAGGAAAAAATGATCAGAAATCATCTAAAATATCTTCTGCATAATCCAAGCCATTATCACTGGCACGAGATACTGTACGGTCAGTTGTTAAAGGGTCGTCAGCCTACAAAAATAATTAGAATTATTAGAGTGAATTCAAAATCTACAGATCCGCAACAGAGTGGATTCAAAATCCACAGATCCGTAACAGAGTGGATTCAAAATCCACAGATCCGGAACAGATCCTCCTGATCCGAAAAAGATCCGCGGGGGCCCCTGTTGGAGAACCGCCATTTCAGGATCATTCCGGATTTATTACGGATAATTAATTAGATCCGAAGACGACCGAGTGGAAAATACGGATCTAATTAATGATCTACAATGAATCCAGATCTAAGTGGCACAGAACTGCTATTTCATATCTACTATTTTTACCATTCTTGTCACGTGCAACTTATTTCCCGACCGGGATACACTTAGATTTAGCTAGTGTCACGTAGTCATCTTCCAACCAATGAGATTGTTAGTTCTATCGGAAATTTTCGCCCGCGAAAGAATAGTCAAACAAATACATAGCAGCAGACACTAAACCATTGTTTTTCGTTTTACGTTGAATTTTCTTTCACGAGCTAAATAAAATCATTCTACTATATGAATGAATGGCAAACTTTTTAATCCTGAAAATGCCAAATTGTGCCAGTTCTAATTTTCTGTTTTCGAAGTGAGAGAGGCAGGAAGGATGGAATAAGGACAGAACTAACAATTTCATATTTTAAGACAAGATATTCAATCCAATTATACATTACCCCCAGTAATAATAATACAGAGTCACTGACATCTCTGTTGGGTGGGGCTGTGTTGTCAACTAACCTTACTGCTGTTGCTATGGTAACTACTAAGCTGTTCTTCGATTTCATCTGTCAAGCTCAAGCTATGGTCGCTCAGGTGTGAACTAAAGATACAAATAAAGTGCTTCTCTTTTAGTATCACAAAAGACAACTCTGTAACCCTGCAATTTAGAGTGCATACTGTAATCTTAGTTGTTCTTATTGGCATTGAGAACTGATTTTTTCCCCGTGAGGTCAGGGACACCGGAATAGCATAACTAATTAATGTGGGCTCTGTAGTGTTAGTGTTACCAGTGTCTTCAGTGGGTCTTTTATGTCCACTTTATACAAAGTTATACAGTGAAGACAGACGGGGCCTACAGTTTTAAGTCCGAGAAGACTTGAAGGTCTAACCATTTGTAGATGTAATTACAAATGCATCACTTTCTCCTCAGTTATTTTACAGCGCCTTTCATAATCACGCGATTCCAATTTGGCGCCAGCCCAAAACATGCGTTTTAAAATAACCAAATGAAAATACGAAAACGAATACTTGTGATCTATATAGATTGAACTTCCTACGGCTCCCATTTAGCCGAGAGTTTGAGCAAGAAATCGCAGAGATTCAGTTCTAGTAGTATGCATGGCTTTGGTGAAAAAGTGATGAAAATACATAGAGAAACGAATAGTGTGTTATGGTGCAGCCGTTAAGCATAACCTGGTAGACGATCGATCCAGAACATTTTCCTTTGACCGCTAGATGTAAGGCTTTCAAGTCACCGAAGCGTTTAGAGCAAGAGATTTCTTTCAAAAGATTCTTCAGAATTGAAGACTGTTTCAAATCCTTTGTGCTCAGGAAGAAGAGTTTTTAAAAGTTTTTTTATCGCGCTATCGTTCCCCTGCAATTGCTGGTCGTTTGGGCCAATGCATGTCGGCCCACTGGCCTGCTAGCAGCCATCGCGGGCCCTCGTCTTCGTTCGCTATGTGGGCCGACCAAAGTTGCAGTTTCACCAGACAGCATCAGGCTATTAGTTGTTGCTTGGGAGCCTGGTTAATATTTGCGCTAATCGTTGCGCTGATCGTTTGTCAACCCCTGCTGGATCAGGCTGCCATTCGTCGCTCAAGGTCTGGGTACTTGTTGCGCGGATCAATGCGCTGATCGTGGCGCTAATCATGGATCTCTTTATTATTCGATTCTTCTGGAGCAGGCTACCATCCGTTGCGCAAAGTCTGGGCACTTGTTGCGCTGGTCAATGGGCTAGTCGTTGCGCTTTCATCGGTCAACTCTCCGAGGGATCAGAATACCATTCGGTGCTTGGGGCTTTGGCACTTGTTGCACTGATCATTGCAAAAATTGTTGCGCTTTCATTGTTCAATTTTGCTGAATCACGCAACCATTCGTTGCTTTTGGTATGGGCACTTGTTGCAATAATCCTTGCGCTACTAGTTGGCATCTTCAGTTTTCAACTCGGCCGGGTCAGGCTATTATTCGCTGCTTTTGGCCTGGGCAGTTGTGGCGCTATTGTTGGTATCTTTAGAGTTCAACTCCGAGGTATCAGGTTACCATTAGTTGCTTGGGACCTGGGCACTTTTTGCTTTGGTCGTTGCAAAAATCGGTGCGCTTTATCGGTCAACTCTGCTGGATCAGGCTACCATTCGTTGCTTTGAACCTGGGTATTCGTTGAGCCGATCGTGGTCGTTTCCTGATTATTAAACTCTGATGCATCAGGCTATCATTTTTGTCTGGGGCCTGGACATTGGTACCCGCTTGGAAATCGAGCTAGACTCGTTCAAACTGGTTGCTCGGTTCCCATTGAACAAAGTCGCTAACTTGCGGGTGCTTATTGACTCGTGGACCAAATTTATCATTACGATGAGTTTTAACTTGATAGTCAAGTAAGGTTTTCCAGCTGAAGTATCATGTGTATGGTTTGCTCACTTAGAATATGACTAAATCACAATAAATTTAGGTACATTTTATCGTTAAACGACAAGGTGAATTACAACGAGAACAATATCAAAGCGGTCTATGAGTGACATTGCACATTTTTTTCTGACGCCAGGTCAAGTTTGATAGAACCTTTCAGTTATTCATAAATCTATTTTAGGAACTGAAATATTTGTTTATCTTGATGTTTGATCTAAATTTCCTCGCCATTTTTTTCCTCATCTATTTTGGATAAACCACAAGTTTTGCATTTATATCAATACTGCGCTCTTTTAGCATGCGGTTATTTTCGTGAGTTTGATTGACGGAAATCATAACCCGTGTTTTGGGCTGGTGCCAAATTTGTTGAGGTCGCGTGATTATGAAAGTCGCTTAAGGCCCCGAGTGGACACGAGTGAAAAACGTCTGCGCATGCTCTGAATCCGTATGCGAATTAGTCAAAACATATGTAAATTTGACCTTCAAACATGCCTGATTTAATTAATTGGACTTCATAAAATGCCAAAACTTAGTGTCCATGCTTGAAACTTAAGGCTAATTCTTTCATATTGTGTTTGTTAATACAGTTTCTTGTTGTAACAAAAGTATACTCGCGAATTTTTTTGAATACTTGGAGAAAACAAACATTTAGTTTTTCACTCAAACTCTTCAAAATTCTTAGAAAACGTGCTAAAATGCACGCATGCGCAAACGTTTTTCTCTAGTTTCCCCCGTGTGTTGGTTCGGCCGAGTCTTGAACCACAACCTCCCACACAACAGAGCGACGCTCTTACCAACTACAACACAATACCATACAATGCGATACAACAAACTTTATTAAAGAGGGTGACGCATAACCCAGTGAGTTATCTAACTTACAGGTCTCAACTGAGCTAAACTTGTTTTTTTTTTCAAGGTATACCACTATTTGCATACCTTGGCCGTGTTTTTGAAACATGTTTCTGATAAAGGGGGCAAATGTAAGACAAAAGTGTTAGTGGTCTCACCTTGACGCCTGGAAGTCATCTTCATAGTCATACTCTTGTGAATTTGTACTTTTTTCTTCGCCAGGAATATCTAGGAAATGAATAAAACTTGAATAACTATGATAAAAAGGGCCAATGGAATGAATTGAAAGGACAGAAATAAAGCATCTGCACTTTAACAGCTTACTGTTAGCTTTCGGCCCGAAAACCTGGTAATACAACTCATTTATTTTGGTTGAAGTTTGGTTTCAGTGGGCTGCGAATGGTTTGGAGCCATCAAATCCCTAATCTTCTCTGTAGCCAACTTTAGTTTTGGTCCCAGATCCTCAGAGGGCCTGTGACGACCTGGGACCAAAACTTATGATGGCTGAGTAGGAGACTATCAAAGTCCCACAATCCAAAACATTCTTTTCGGCACATGAACTTGTTGGAGTTGGCGTGTGAACTTGTTTTTATTACAGTTGAAATCCAGTTATGAATTTCTCATAGTTTTGTTTTATATGATGAATTTATTAAATGACAGTGGAAGGATAAACGAGCCGGCAAAAGCTCTTGACGTCGACTTCAGGAGAGAAAATTGTAAAAAGTGGAGATAATGTGGCTACAATTTATTTTCCAGGCTCTGCATATTTGACTTTAGATAGGTTACACGTAGTCTTAACAAGTTCAATATGCCAACTCCAATAAGTTTACGTGTACATTTCAATTCCAACAAGTTCCCCTGCCGAAAATAATGTACAGCTGTCAGCTGTCAAAACAATGTCTTGGGGTGTGGGATTTGATGATTTCAAATGCTTCTCGACCTACTGAAATAGCAGTATTAAAATACTTACCAAATCCTAATTTATTTATTCTGCTGTCAATGTCAGCCAAGTCATTCCACTCTGGTGATTTGGGGATTTGTTTATTGGCTTTAGCAGCGGTTCCAGGTAAGGGTGGCGCATCTTTAAGTGATCCAAGTCCTCCACTACCACTGCTCAGGGAAGGGGCTCCTTTAAGAGAGGCGAGATATCCAGCAGTCTTAGAATCTGTTTCCTTACTGTCTAATGACTTTTTCTCAGATTCAGTCCTGCAGAATACAACATGGAAAACGTGAAGATGGAGCAAGTATATTCAATAATGGTATCACGTGACTTCTTGGAACCTATGACAAGTTACTGTACTACGCATCGTACCGTGAACATTTCTATAAGTTTTTKATTTCTTTTTGACATCTTCCAGGTTTTTGGCAACTTTTTGACAAGTTTTAATTGTGCTCTTTATCGCTAACCATACATGTAATTCTCTTACATATCTTTCTTGTTTGTATTGACATGTAGCAAGGTTAATTCAAGACAGTGGATTTTTCAATAGACTATTTTATCATTGAACTGCTGTTTGATCCGAGTCTTATTGAAGAAATAATACGCTTAATAAGTTTATTTATCTTTAAGATTTCAAATTCAATTCATAGGAAGATGTTTGATATATAATATAATACAGTATTAAGTTACAATTATAACAGCAATAATTATTTTAAAAAACATCTAATTAATAAAATTCTTTAAAGAGACTTTTCTTGAATAGATCTAATTCCTCAATATTTCTAGTCCTTTCGTTAACATTATTCCAGTCATCTGCTGCTCTCGAGACCATGCTATATTGGCCCAGCTTACAATTGCTCTCAAGCAGAGTTAACTCTATTAACTCTGTCTCAAGCTTGCATTAATGGTGACTATATGTGTACCAAAACTTACTTTTTTGTTTTGGTTGCTTGTAAAGTTGACTTTGGCTTGGTCAGGAAGTCAGAAAAGATATCATCATCATCACTATCAATTGTTCTGTCTGGACTTCTGTGGTGAAAAAATCACAAAATTAAAATAATTTCCAGTCACCGATCTAGAAGGTTTTCATTTGTTAAAGATTGTAGGACATGGAGTTAAGAATAATTTTTGAGGTGGGTTCATATAATTTTTGAAAGCATTTTCTTCAGTGAATTTTTATGGGTTTTAAAGTGATTATTAGGAGTGGGTAGTGGGCTCACGCAAACATTTTAGTTAATGGAAGATGAGATACATGTACAAGATGTCTTAGGATGATATCATAATATAGTAAACTGACAGAAATATCCAAGCCTACAACATGCAGTTTTTATAACATGAAACCTGTCATGATATCTCAAGCCAGTTAGTAGAACTAGATTTACTAACCCTCTTCCACTCTTTTCTTTTCTGGAGTCTGATAGTGACTTGTCATCTTTCATGTCTAGTTTATCATTCCTAAACGAATCTAATCCATTCTCACTTGCATGACTGAGGCTAGCTGATTTCTCCTCTTTTATTCTCTGAGGAATCTTACTGGGTTTCTGTGGGGAAACAAAATTATTCTAAAACTATTGATTTACAATTTCATGAAAATACCAATAAAAATATGTTTATTATGAAATTATGGGAGACAAGAGTGATGTTGCAGTAAAATGGGCTGGTTGTCTGGCTTTCAAGTAGAAGGACTTGATAGTTTATAGACATTAGGTAATATACACAGTACTGCCACATGTGTAACCAGATCTCTCCCTTGCCACAAACGTTTTTTTAGGTTTTCCGGTTTTCCTCCTGTCCTCGTGTCAGTTGAGAGTTGTGTAGTGGTAGGGCATATTTAATAAGAGTGGGCCATATGATGCTGGATATTATATGCTGAATAAATAGCTGTTAACAAACTATGCCAGCATAAAAATATAAGGATTAATGATGCATGAGTCTTAGTTGAAGTTAGGAAAAGCTTTTTACATACAAAGATGAATTTTATCATGATTCATTTATCACAGAATTTTACAAACAATAGATTTATAGCCTATTACTGGATAGAAATTGGAACACCTTGCTCTCTTAAGTATTTTAGCTGTTACCTTGCTCTCTTATGTTAGTGTAAAAAAAACACATTACTAGACATGTCATTTTCAACTTACAGTTAAGCATTTCAGATGCAAACGAGTTTAAAAAGTTAAAATAGTGGAAATTTAATTCTTTATTCATTTTGAAAATCTTGCTAAAGAACATTTGAGTTATCATCAATGTTAATTTTTACAATAACTTACAAATTTCTCATGCGCTGATTGACTGATTTTTATCATCATCACTAAGAGGACAGACAAAGGTGTCATCATTGAGCGCTTGCTCTTTAAGTTGGTTGTTTTGATCACTAGAAAAGAGAGGCTTTTATCATTTTTCTTTTTGTTTTTGTTATTGTAAAAAACAAATTGACTTCAGATTTTTGTGTCTGTCCTCTTATGGACGATAAATTTCGCCATCACATTGTCAAAGTAGGATGCGGATCCACTTGGCTATGTCTTGCGGATCCTCACTACTTTGACAATGTGATGACGCAATTTATCATCAATAATAAAAGATAATTTTTATTGTCAATTTGTTAATTGTATATCAATGTAGGAGGTCAAAATTGAAGTTGTTACCATATCATCATCACTTTCAAATCCAGCACTGATCATCAATTCTGAGTGACTTTTTTCTTCTTCCTTTAATGAGAACCATACTATTAAGTACTTTGATAAAACTAGGTTTATAGTATATTTTTATTAATTCTTTAAAAATGGTCTTTTATATACTTCATTTTTTTATGTTACCATTGACTTCAATTACATTTTATAAATTAAAATAGTTAAATTAATCATATCACTATTAATTTTTTTACATTGGGTAGTTCCAGAAAATATCCATACCTATATTTGCTCATTGGGTAGTTCCAGAAAATATCCATACCCCTACCATGGGCGGCATTTTGGAATTCCAAAGGAGGGGGGGGGGGGTTTCTTAGATCAGGAATTCCGAAGGAGAGGGGGGGTTTCTTAGACCAGGAATTCCGAAGGAAAGGGGGGCATTTTGGTCTGGAAAATTATTTCAAAGGACGGTGGGAGAATTGATTTTGAAATATCTACGTGAAAAGAGCAAATGAACCAGCTGATCTTCGAAGTCTTTCGATCGCTTCATAGGTATGACCACAACGCCTGGCGAAATTTACCTATTATTTTTCCCCATAATTAAAGCGTGGTAAGTAATTATTTGGTGATTGAAGACAATACTAATACAACAATTAGATTGAATTACGATTAAAAAATTGCAAGTACACCACATCTACGAGAGAATTTTATCTCTATGTAGGGAATACGTATTCTTTGCGATGACGTCTTTCTTGATTATAAAGCCTGCATTAACTAAGATCAGCGTTTATTCAGAAAATTAAGATGGCACCAATCGAAAACACATTTATTCACAAGTTCTGTTCTGCTTCACTTGTGCATTGTTTGTCCAAAGAAGAAAATAAAAATGTTGAAGATCAAGGATAAGTTATGATAAGAACAATGAAATTATGATTTTTTTTTTCCTAATCATTTCGAAGTTTTAAGACCTCTGGGTGAAGTTTCATTTGTAGTTCGCGGTAATATGTGCTTTTCGACTTTGATTCCTAAGTTCGTATCCGTTCGTCTTGCATGAAAATAGCATTTATTTTTTTGTCTAGAAAGCTATTGAGAGAATACATAATGATATGGAATTCCAGGGGGGAGGGGGTGGGGTACACAGATATGGGATTCCTTGGGCCAGGGGCCTTGAACCATTTCGGAATGTCCGAAGGCAAGGGGGGCAAAAAAATTGATGCCGCCCGTGGTAGGGGTATGGATATTTTCTGCAACTACCCATTACTGAGTGTCAAGCAAAAGTATTGAAATGATGAATTTTGGGATCCCTGCTGTATGTGTCCACAGGAATCCCAAGCAATTAAATTAAAATGATTTTGTGGTATTGTTGTGAACCCTGGATTTACTATATACCAGTCAATCATTAAAAAAAATATGGAAAATCATTGACATGATATGAATTGGGATGCTTGTGTTGTGTGTGTCCACAGTAACCCCAATCAATCAATTTTCATATTAAATACCTTAACAGACGAAGGACTTGAGCTGCGAGGGCTGAGTGGTCCATTCTGTCGTGAGGTGCTCTTAATGGCAGGCTTATTACAGAGACGAGAAAAATAGCAATATTCTTATTAGATTGTGCCCTTTTATAAAAACTCAGCATCATTCCATTAAGTTTTTAATGTTTATTGGAGTCTGCTAAGCACGAAAAAAGCATTGTAGATGGCAGCACAACCCAAAGCTAAGTGTGACAAGTTTCTTAAGTGCATAGAAGCCAACAAGTATCCAACAACTATAACTCAATAGGTGCATGTTGAGTTTTGACCATTTCTTTTTGTAGTGGCATGCTTGTGAAATTGGGATTTGTGGGTAAAATGTAATGACAATGCCCAAGATGCCTGTGGACTGGCTGCTGGCTGTGATCCATCAACATCCCACACTTAAGCTATGCTATACTTTTTTTTTTTTTTTTTGCTAGAAAAAAATTGTTTTATTCACCTGGCTTTCATCGATTGACAGTTGAAGCTTTCCTACATGTGAAGTTGCAGTGCTGTTGTTGCTGCTTCCATGTAACATTCGCTGTACAACCTCTAACAACAATGGCTTGCCAGCAAATCTATCCATTTCATGTAACTTGAGTTCATTTGCCAGATTATTTCTTCCTTGATATCTATCACTCTGGGAAAAACATGTATATTTGTCATTGATAACTGAGTTCTTTACATAATCTAAAGAATATATTGAACATCGTGGACATGACTAGATGATTTTCAAAAAGATTAAAGGTATTACTGAACAGAGAACAGAAAAAAAAGCAGTTCTTTTGTTTGTTCTACTTTAGAAAGAAGAGTTCCATTATAGTTTTCAATGCTGATTTCTTATACTTTTTTGCAAATTTGCAGCACATGATGACAGCATAAGCAGCCATGCTTCATTCACTAATAAAGCAGAGTTATCAGAGAGCACATATTATATAATTATAAAAAATAATTATATGTGTATCTGGGCCAAAATGATTACTCTCATTTAGCACACATGATGACCAGCCATCTTGTACTGATCAGCATTTGACCATGCAGTCAATGGGTAGTTCCAGAAAATATCTTTCCCCTCCCCTACCATGGGAGGCATTTGGGAAATCCTTAGGAGTAGTGAGGTTTTCAGATCAAGAATTCCTGAAGGAGAGAGGGGAGAATCTTGGTTTGGAATTTCCAAAGGGAAGGGGGAGARTCGTTTTTGAAACACTAATGTGAAAAGAGTGGATAATTGAACCAGCTGATCTTTGTAGTTTCAATTGCATTGTAGTCTTTTAATCGTATTGTACCTTCACATCGTATAAAAACAACTCGAAAACCTAAGAATTCATTCATTGCTTTATGGTTCCAGATCCATTCCAAAAATTTTACAGTATAGGTAATAACATAAATCATAAAATTAAGCTACCTTTTTAAAGATCTTTTAAACTCACAATCATTGGAACCTTCATGTTTTGTAAAAGATTAGAAAGTTACCATAAAGGCTGCATTATGTTAGATCAGTAGGAATGGCAGTTTTTTTCGAACAGTCATTTCAATCCAGGAACCTTGTTTCAATCCACCCACCTACACCTTCAACCCATAAATATATGTATATTCATTGGACTGAGTGTGGGTGCAGCATAATGGTTAGTCAAAAGTAGGCTGTATTGCAGACTATTCCGAACAAAAACCTCCCAACTGTTTGAAATAGCAGAACATATTTGTTGACAGTTTTGAATTCTTGTTTAAATAATCCCTAGTTAGTTGGTTTATAAAAACCTTCTAAACTGCATAACATTAACTAATAGAAACTGTCATATTTAAAGGGAATGGGATAACACTGTAAAGCTTAAGTGTTTTTGTAATCAATCAAATAGTTTTGGATCATCATTATTTATGTTTCACATTGCTTGAATATTAAAAAGTTGTTTTCTAAAGTAATTTAATTTACAAATTAAAATGAATGAAATGAAAAACAGTTCTTTTCTGAAACTATTTATTAGTAAGTAAGAACAGTTCAAAGAAACTCCACATCTTAGCATCATCCTCAACTGAGCAGGAAATATTTGTATATCAAAGTAAGCTGGTGCATTCAGCTATTTCAAACTCAGAAAAGGAGAAATTAAAAAAAAAATATCAAAAGAGGTTAATAGAAGTCGAAAAGGTCATAGAAACATGAACCACACAACAGTGCTGAAAAATAACATGTCCATGTCTTAATCATTCATTACTTCAAGAGGTGACTTCCAGCAATATGATTAAATAAAGTTTGATATGATTAGACTGTGAAACAGAAGACTTCRCTTAATTGTTTGAACAGATAAACAAACAGTTTTATCAAACAAAAACATCTAAGGGACAAAACTAATTGTGAAAGAAAGACAAACACTAATCACTATTAATTTGTTCTGGCATCTAGCACTCAGGGATCACGCACCAGTAAACCATCAAGATAAGTGTTGCTGCTTGCCTGACCGCAGCAACAAACAAAAAAAGTACTCTCAAAAGAATATTATTTTTGTTGAGCTTCATGGCTGTTCAAGGTGAACCAAAAGACATAACAAGCTCTTTATTTTGAGCTATTTTCTCAGTAAAAGTGTGAACTTAAATGAGAACACTAAAAAGCAACACTAAACCACTACAAAAGCAACACTAAAATAACACTAAAATAAAATAACACTTAGAAAAAATGACACGAAAATGATTTCGACACATCGATGGATCTCACCTTGTGACTGCATTCTCAGACGTTGGTAGGCACAGCAAGCCACAATTTTCTCTGATGCCAGATGACGGCACTACACTATGCCTTACTAGCATAAACCTACTAGCATACTATTACGAATCCTGCAATCTGATTGGTTAAAAAACGTTCTCACTATCTATCCTGTGATAGATAGCGAGTAGCGAAAAACAAACAAATGCATGCTCAAGTTTTCTCTAAAAAAAATTTTAAGAGGCAATGTCTGTAAAAATCAAACATAATCGAAAATCCGTGGCCAAGTTGAAAAAATCGATTTTTTTCATATTTGGTCCAAAGATGTAGAATACCAGGGGGGAGTAGTGGCGATCCAAAAGTTTGACTAAAGAGACTAAAGGCTCGCTACGGCCCTTGCAATGATTACCAACACCCGCTTAACTAGTAAGAACATTAATTTTCTTTTTACTGCTTTCTTATTATTTGGATTTTCATTTATAAAACCGATTATGACA